AATCAAGCAATTAGAATTCTTTTCACAGCGATATACAGTGTTTCAAGTATAACTGAATGCGTAGCATTACCTGAAACTCGTCGTATTTCGTGCCAACCACCAAAAGTGGAATTGGGAACAGCGAGCACATCTTCGCTTCTTCCTGAATGTTCGCCGAACATTCTTTTCTATTCGCTCCAACTGAAATCAGAACTCACTTTATACTCGGCCACCCTAGCGGCCATTCGGTTCCTGATCTTTGCCTGTCTGCTTTCTGGGAGGTTTTTGATGGCGGTTTCGACGTAACTGGAGGCGCCAGACATGAGCGCTTCCATAGTGATCCACAGCTCGTATGGACGGGTCAGATCGAGCACGAGAACAATGGATGCCGATCTGAAACCGCTTAGAATTGCCGCAATAGTGGCTCAACAAGCTGCTCTCACTCAATGTTCTCTTTCACGAGAGGAATTGCAAGAAGTTGTACGAGTTTGGTGCCGCCTCCGAGCTCCCAGATGTGACAGACGTCTTTGTTCTGAAAGCATAAAGATCGATCCCGTTCAAGCAGTCCAATACAAAAATCTCACGAACATTTCCTCGTGTTCTCCGCGCAAAGATGTACTCCAGTGCTACGGTCTCTTTGGGATCCTCGTTTCCTGTCCAGAAACTTGTTTACCATTGTAGATTTCCCCTGAAACCGTGCATATACAAGCTAGCGAAACTTTGGCGCATGGAAAAATGTTGTAAATAACCTACCGACTGAGAATTCCCGCAGATTATCATATGGGTTGCACTTTTCTCATGACCTCCTTCGCCTGAATAAATAATATGACGTTGAAATAATTGCCCAATATCTTTAAAAGCTTTTGTCAGGTTGTTCAAAGCAACAACCCTAGATTGGATAGGTGGGCTAAAAACGGTCGATGTGTTGTGGTAGTCTGGATAAAGAGCTAACTAAAAATGAAAAAATAGAGGAAGCCATCGAAAACCCTTAATAACGACTCTCTTCCCCTTTTGAATGGAGAAGAGGTGTGCCCGGACGAATTTTCTGAACTTACTTGCTCTATGATTCCACTATCCCGCGCATACCTGAATTAGCCGCTGCGTCGTAGTTCACTTTGGGGGTGACGGAGCGAACGCGTGGAATCCCGTCCATTAGCTCACTTTGCAAGGTCCTAGCGTCGTTTTGGTGCGGTCTTGAGTCGCGACAACGGCACTTCTATGGTACTCGGTGCTCTTATCTCCCCCCCCCTCTCCAGAATTACAGGTTCCCACACGACTATCGGGACCCAGAAGGAGAAAAAGTCAGGAAAAGCACAGTTTGCAATGCACGCATGGAACAAAAAATCCACGCCTTATCTTACCGTTCTTTAACTAGGTCTGATCAGAGAATTTCAAATGTAGTTGCTCGTAGAAGAAATCAACCACAATCGAACTCTCCACCTCTAGGATAAGAAGATGTCAGAAATGCCAGAGCGTATTGTGATTCCAAGTCCGCACTCGAAGCGGTGAATCTTACTGGAAGCCAGTCTCTTGAATATTTTTCGCTTCTAATAACCGAAGCTAAGCCATAAGGATGTAGCCATCTTTCGGGTAACACCACGACCTCTATACGACGAAAAAAATCGCTAGTGCCTCAGAAAACAGTAATATGTATGGAATTGATTCCCATTTGAAGTTCGGAGGTTAGCAGATCAATAAATCAAGCGTAAGGTTGAGTTGGTTGTATGAACACTGCCTCTAAATAACCGACTTACTGTTTTTGTCATCCAATCGCTCTCTCAACCTCAGGTCTTCATTTTGACGCAGCTTTTCCTTGGCCAAATTCCAAATGTCCATTGCGAAAACGGATGAAATTGGAAGCAACGGCTCGTTAGCTATGGACGCCACGCACGCACAGGGACTCCCCAACACTCCAGCTTGGAAACCGAAGCAGGTACGCGCTGAGCTACGACAGGGTAAAGCCTCGCTGTGGAAGAACAAATTTTGAGTACTTTCGAAATTGTGGAGGGTCCGTTTTCACGTCCTGCTGCATTTTTCGTATTTCGTCCTAGAATTTCGTCCATAAGAGCATTCATAGAGCATCCAGAAGAAAGAAGAAACATAGGAAACCGATGGAGATTTTTATGATTATATGAGATTGTCCTAGAAAATCGTGGCACTTTTTTGGATCTCACACCAGAACTTTATTTATCATTTTTAAAATATGGTTAGGTAGGGTTTGAGGAGCGCTGCATGAAATAACCTATTTGAGTCATACCCTCCCAAATTTTTTCAAGTTCAAAATAAAAAAGAAAAGAATCATGTTCACACGTTTGATATATAGACTCCTGCCTAGCCACAAAGCGGTCGAAGCGCTACGCACTGAGGATACGGCCTGAAAGAAAGGCTGAGTCCTGGAAGGCCATCGGTGTTGGGTTTAGAACAGCTGCGCTCTCCTATTGAAGCCAGTCCGCCAGAGTCAAACCGGCTCGACCATCACATCAGCGGGGAAGGTCAACGGTCGGTTCGAGCATTCAACTGAGGTGTACACCGTTGCTTGAGACGATAACCTCGGATCTCAGGCTTCTCAGTTGATCTGCTAAACGATTCTCTGAAGGTCGCAAAGCGAACTCGCGCAGTGGTAGCGGTCGAGTCTACAGATGAGAGGTCGATTAAGCGACTTCCTATTGATTTTTCTCTTTTGCACTTTCCAGCACATAGCTAGAAGTTTTGACATCTCTACTGCACGAATGCGTGCAGTCAAGGGCACTGCCGATAAGGACGGCAGCAAAGGGAAGTGGAGAAAAAGCTTCATGACACCATCATAAAGTTTTTTCTTTACGTTACTTTGCTCCGTTTGCAGCATCGTTCAACAGATCGGAAAGCAGTCCTGAGCTCAGCATTTCAGACGAATGCATTATCACCGCATTGTACCACGCAGAAAAGGCCGGGCTAGCTGTTGACCTTTCCTCCGCAGTCCGCACAGAGATTGCAGAGGTGCTCGCTCTTCCGGGAAAGTGTTGAAGCTCAGCCTTCTCTCGTGAACTGACAGTGATGACAGAAGTGCGAGACAGTGTAGTCTGCAATTTTTCTCCACTCTTTCCGTAGAACTGCCGTAATAATGTTGTTACTATGTATAATTATGACGGCTCATGTTAACCATACGTGGAAGGCCCAGTGGGTGGATTAACCAGGAGGGACTGAAAAGCTAACAAGTTCGCAAAGGGTTAGGAATGTTGAACAAAATCCCTAATTCAATCATGGCGCGCAAAATCAAGTACATATTATGTTCATGTTAGTTTTTCTTCGTGACTGTCCCTAATTGGATCCACTTGTCGAACAATCAATTCAGGCTGACAATAGCAGTCAACAGCACCTGCAACAGACAGCAAATCTCTCTTGACCTACTTCCAATTTCACAATGGTTCCGTTGAAATGGTTTATATTATCAAAACGAACTAGAAAGGTTCTCCATTCTCAACAGTTTTCTATTAAGCTGTGCTCAAGCTGACTTTGACCTTTAAAAATTGTTAAGTGGACCTCGTAAAAACGGGAATAAAGCGTTAGAGGAAGAAGGGAGAATTCTAAATTCTATTCATTTTTTTTGTTTCAGAAGATGATGGAGAGCTCTCTTCAGAGCATCATCATTCAATGGAAGCATGGACTAGTATGACCATGCTCCATTTGGGGCCGAATTGGTCCTTACTCAAGGTGAGGTACGTTGGCGATTTCTACAACAAAATCGTAAAAATTCAAGAACGAGCTGGATTTGAAAGAGACTTTCGACCCTCAGACTGTTTTCCATTTCATTGGATTCCTTTTACAAATTCCTTCCTTCCTATCTTCTTCTTCTCTCCAGCGTTAATCCTGCGCAGTCGCAGGGCCCGTTGTTCTTGTTAAACGTCGCCAGCTGGTCTTGTCCAAGGCATCTTCTGCCGTAGCCCTTACTTCAGTAAAGTCCTATTAAATCTTTCTTTCATGTTTCGTTTAGATGGAGAATTCAACGGAACACCAAAAGGGCTCACTAAATGTAACCCTCGTTGGTATGAAAACCAAGGAATGTCCATTCACGTGGTGCCTTTGTGCGATAAGGCCGATCAGGTGGAGATCATCATGTTTACATCCACATTCCCCGAGTGAAAACGAGTTGGATATGTAAGAGAAGTGAATTGGTGTGCTCTATGGACCATCTTTGCTGCAATTAGTCGGGGTGAAGGGAGGCGGGGAGTCGGTGTCTGGATGTCTTAGGTGCGGCGTATGAGCATCTAGACCATCAACAATCGACAAGTACTTCTTTTTCCATGCTCAAAAGTTTGCCCGTTTGGCACGATGCAAAATGTTCAGTTTCACGCCAGATCCCAAAGCTTCTTCACAATGCAGAAAAATAGGTTACCTGTTACCGAGGCGTAGTATTGCGCCGTCATGCCCCTAATACGCTTGCCCTCGACGTGCGTCTCCTCAGTCGAACATTTCCTCCTTGACAATTTTGCCACCACATCATTTTATGATTGTGCAGGGACGCTAAGAATATCATTCCAAGGTTGGCTCTTAACGAATTGAGCGTACATGATATCACATCGATCTTCAAAATTGCATCGACAGTTGTTCTAGCTACTCTAAGATGTGGTTTCTGGTTGTTTTTTTTGGTCGATTCGTGTTGTCGTGTCTGACGCCTCAAATCACAGTACGATTCAGATAACGCGATGCGCGGTTGAGCCATTACCCGGCACGCGGAGCTGAGTGGTATTGTGATCCTCAATCAAAGTCCACCTCTGGTTTATCCTCTTTACCAGATTCGCTTACCATTTCGTCAAGTACGCCCTACTGTGCTATATGAAGTAGGGTGGCACGGACTTACAGCCCGCACCGCGCCCATCAGCTGCTAGGGTGACCGCATTTTTTTGAACAGAAATGTATGTAAGTGGGACTGCTGCCCGCTACTATACTGTCACGAGAATCGGGGAATTCGTGAGCCAGGGGGAGTGTAGCCAATCTAGGGGGTGGGGGTGAGGGCAGTCACTTGACATGCGTGAAAAGCTGGGCGTGCCCACCCACTTGTATAGAGCCCTCATCTAAATATTTCGCACTTGGCGAATGATTGCTTAGGTCAACTGAGCTCTTAAGCAATTTGTTAGCTTCTTTACCGTGATTACTTTTTTACTGGGCCAATAGTTGCTCAGACGACTCTTATCGGTGCTATAGCGAATCAACACCGTTACCGTGTCCGACAAAGGTAGAGATGGTGATGCAAGAACGAAGACAAACCGAAAAAAGGTCTAGAACCCAAGAAAACGGACCCTCTTTCATAGGTTGCTCAGCACGACTTCTTATCGGTGCGCTCGCTCAAGCTGACCGACAGCTGACAGCTCTCTTGCTAGAGTGGCTAGAAGTCCAAACGGCCGAGCTGTGGCCAGTGGGTGCAGCTTGTGCAGCGGCGGCGGTGCGGCCCTGCTGTGGCCCGCTTGACCGCCTTACCCTTTGCTGCAACGTCTGATACTCGTCTTACACCCTCAGGGGGCCGCCTGACTTTCCATTAGGTATATTTCCCCTTCTTCGAGCTCCCGACCTCATCGTGTAATCTTCCTTTAAGTTCTCAATCGCCGGAACGAAGTACCTGGAACCGCCGATTGTTTCTGTATTTTGCTACATTTTCCTTCGTTTTCCATCCCTGCTAGACTCATGGCTTTCCGAATTGTGGCTGTAAAATGAATTTCTCGAACTTTCTTTGGCGAAAACTTGTTCTTTCAAATACGGAGTTAAAATGGTCCTTCTTAAACGCTGCATGAAGGGGAGACATATTTGAGATGAGACTTTGCCAAAGCATTTGAAAGGGACAGCAGTAAGTTTTGTAACATAGTTATCCCGCTGATGGGCTATAATGAGAACTCAACAGTGAGTGCCGTGGATGGCAGGATTTCGTTGGGCAGTCCGAAAAACCTCGATTGTAATAGGCAAACCAAGGTTACCCATCAGAGCTCCAGCTGAGAAGGGACCAGACATCGTTACTGCTGCAAGTGGTTTTCCAATTCACACAGGTCAAACTCTAAGGAATGGGGTTCTAGCTACAGCACGCACGCAGCCATCTTTTCCCAGCTGGTCTTCCGTGCTCTGTCTCTATGGATTTTTCGTCTGCTCATAAAGCTTCCTCTAAATCATTATGTCAAACAAAAATCTATTGTTCCATCCTGATCGCAGCATAGAAACAGCCGAAGTGGCTCAATCAAGACGGAGACGACCTCCGCCTTTACAAATAGTACGCACTTACATCATTCCATGATGGACTCGTACTAGATCAGTTTAGAGATCTTGTTGAACCGCTACTTCTCTGAGGAGTTATTTTGTCATTTAAATTTTCAGCAAATCATTTCCATCTCTCTTTGCAAAACACGCGTGAGGTTGCCGTCTTAGTTATAGATGGACAATAAAAACTATCATGTTTTCGGTATTTACTCAGTGCCGATCTCCTATTATTGTCGCTCAATCATTCATTCGATGTTGTGAAGGCCTTCACTGTCCATCATATTTCACCATGGCATTTGTAGTGCAAATCTTGCTGATTCTCCAACCCCTAAAACTGTTCGATAAGCCATGAAATCGGTTTGTGCGAACACATTTTGCTGCTGTGGGATCCTTTTCGCCCTCCCTGACCCCTACGAGCTATCTCTAAGTTTTTTCCTACATAAGGAGAGCCTAAGTAGCCGAAGAGGTGGTTAGGGGAGTGAGGCAGGGTTAACGGGAACCTAAGTGAGCAGGGCATGCTCGTGCAGTTCAGCTTGTTGGATAGCCCTTAGTTCCCGGTACAGTGACTGTGTCGGGGACGGCTGCTCACAACGCCAGGTTAATCGGAAGCCTACGCTGCCCCGTACATATACTGGTCTTTATCACTCACCTTACCCGTATCGACTTTCGTTCAGTGACAGCTCCCCGACGCTCTGGGAGGCAGTGAACCGACGACACAGGACGCAATGATATATCTGCTGAATGACGCAAGCAAGAGTGGCCGCTTTTAAAATCCTAACGGAAGAGTCGTGACGGATAACTTTAAAGTTAGCTCTAATATATCCTATTGTATATTCCTCTATACTTCGTTTTGGCGGTTGTGCTGAAGAGTTTTTTCCACTATTTTGAACGTAATTTTCGCCCAATCACTTTGGTTCTTGTTTTGAGCTTATGAGCTTATGCGAGAATGCCGCCAAGCAGGCAGGTCAAAACTCTGAGGACACATACCACCTTCTGGTCAATCTTCGGCCTACATCATTTTACCCATTGCACTATGCTCTTAATTGAGCTGCGTGATCCATTATATTAGACGCTCCCATTCCTCGTAAAAAGGTTGATTCAGACTCCTTACTTCACATTGGAGCTACATACTGTAGCAAGAAAACATCCGCCTCGTTGTCAACATGGCAACTTTTTCCAAGCAGGAAGAGCTTCCACCTCTGCCTGTCTCAGATCTCTCTCAAACACTTGACAAGTATCTCAAATCAGGTATGGTAATTTGCGAAACTTGGACTGATCATTCTGGTTAGGATTTCCATTCCAAATAATTCGAGAAACAATTCCAGCACTTGTTCTGCTGAATAATGACCAGAGGAGAAAGACAAGGGAAGTCGTTGAAGTCTTCCGAAAGTAGCGCTGTAACGGAAGAGCTGCAAAAGGGTTCTCATCACAAGCCCGAAAGGGTCAGAGTGAAAAAATGGTAACAGGCTCTCTGATTAAAGAAATCTCGACCTCATATCCCAACAGGACCTCATACCCAAACCCTAACCTTCTTCTCCCTGGCTAAGGTCCACACACCCTGCCTTTTGAAGCGAATTAAAAACCACTGCCCCCGTCACTGCGCACTTTGGTGCAAGTCTCGGCCACTGGGCTGCGGCCTTCGCTTAGTTTCATATCCCATTGTCCCACGGGGCGCTCTTCCCCAAATATGGTCCGGTCTCTTCAGGTGGTAGTACTGCAGTTGTGTCAGACAGACAAAAGGTACTTTAATGCCTAAAATGAAGATACTCACTGATGATTTTATGATAGAATCACAAGGTGTTTCTCCGTAGAAAGGTGTTTCTCCGTTAGCAATTTTCTTTCGATATTCTACATATTATATTTCAAAATGAATTTCAGCTCGAAGATTGGTGGTACGATGCATACTGCGAGAGTCGTCTCCCTTTGGTGCCTTATGTGTCGCTAGCTGCCAGCAACAGTTCGTGGACCCCGCTTGACGGCTCGCAAATCTGTCGTGCTGCTGATAGCATATATTACTGGATGTTGTTCTGGGATAAAATCAGAAAGTGAGTGCCGATTTAAGACAATTTCAGATAACTCTATTCGCTTCTCAATTTAGCGCCCTTCCTCTTCTATTCAAATACTTCTTCTCAGCGCTAGCCGTTCGACCAAGGGTATTTAATAAGACTATTCTCAGCAGGCCTAGAATCTTTACTTGACGTATGGCTTGAGATTACCATGAATGTGTAATTTCGCTCAAGCGTCATCCATTTTTCGGGCTAGTTGGCTAAATTGGTAGATGAATTGTTACTTACTCCTCAGCGGGAAGCGACTTCCATGGTCACCGTCCTTTTTATATCAACCTTTATGTAGCCTTATGAGCGGAAACTTATGTAGGCACCTTAACCCAACGTCTGCTTCATCCCACAGCGCCAGTTCTGCCTGACCTCTCTGATCTCGCACTACGGTACAGAAATATCGCACTGCACAAATAAGCCTATCCGAAATTCGTACAAGATCAAAGACAGAAGCTGTTATATTTCAGAGAAACTATGCCAATTACAAAAAGTCGCGGAACTATTTGGGACATGTACCAGTATCGCTGTGTTTTCAACTCCTGCCGAGTACCTGACCTGCCGAAGGACCGAATGGATAGATACTTTCAGAACAGGTAAGTGTCACTAAACAAAGCGTACCAATGAGTTTGTCAGAAAGGCATTGCACGAATTCGTGGAAACCTTCAGAATGGAGTTCTTCTATTGGGCAGGATTTGCAATAAAGATTATCACAATTAGTACGCAGGAGACGCGTCTGCTTCTCTGAGCTGCTCTTCAATCTTTTCACCAGCTATGAAGGATTCGAATTCTCCATGTTGACATTATCATCGACCCTCCTACCCACTATGAGGTTGTCGGGAGAGTCTTTGACCAATTCCAACTTCATGCTGCAAAATCTTTGAGGATCGTTTTGAAACATTACTGTAAAACGTAGTGATCCCTGCTCAATGGTCTCTTCAGGGATTTTCTGCCGTAGCTGTGAGAAAAGAAAAGCGACATAAAAGTGGTCGACTTGTTAAACTGAATGGCGAGCATCTTTTGGAACTGTTTGGAGGGAGTTCCCAGTGCAATGCATGGGGATTGCCAGAGCTGTGATTTGACTATTCATCAGCTTCAGAGGAAAAGGAATTCTGCAGAAATACTTGATTTTGCGCCTGTCTCTCGTTTGACCAGATTAAATATGACTGATCTTACTCGAAAACTCCGATACAGCACTGGAACCTGTGAGGTGACATTCAGAGTTGCTAAAATTTGAAGGTGTCAGTCACTAATAGCTGTTACCAACGAATTCTATTGGTGAACAGTATTGTACGCAAATGGATGAGCTCGCTGGTATTATGCTTTGAAAACATGGCAAAGTCATGGAAAAACTTTCTCGATCACAACAGCGCTCATCCACAAATTAGGAACAAGGTCCAGCAAAGCCTTCAAGCTCTTCATAAGACGTTCTGACCCCTTCTGGTGTCTGCAGACCTGACACCCCCCAAAAAAGAGTACATCATCTATACCGTCTGCCTTCGTTAACTGTTCGAATCATTGAGAGGGAGAGCTTCCGATAATGCCGCTATCTAACTCGAAAGGGACTTTTCGTGTCACAGGCAGTGCAAGCTGCCTGCGCCAATACCTCAAAGGGAAGGAGTTCCAAGCGCAGAAAAATAAAGAAGTTTCCCAACTGTGGCCGGTTCGCAACAAAGAAGCGTAGTATGAAGTTGTTTCCCGCACCATAGACGAAAATGTATATGCCTGCAGAAATTTTTGATTCACCTAAAAGGCGCCAGAATAGTCAGTTTCAAGTCTTCATTCAGAAGACAGCGAAATGAGCGAGTTTCAGAGTCGGAAGGTGATTGCCCGTCGCACATTGTGGTGCTATGTCGAGGGAATGTGTGGAAGGTGGAGACGCTCAAGAATGGGCAAATAAAGAGCCCTGATGAATTCTATAATGTAGGTTTAGAGGTTTCATGAAGGACTCATTTTGTTCCTCCACAATTCGTTTTAACCTCCATCTACACACGCTCTGTTCGTCCTCTTGGGCGGGAATTAACGGGGCAGCTCAGTTACATTTTGCGCAATACTTTATATCTTGCAGAGATCTGAGAATGTGACAATAACGAATGAAGAAAGAAGCACGACGCGGAAAAGTTCTAATTTAACTTTGACCAGGAAAGTCATTTCCAACAATTCCATGGAAATTTGAACTGATATCCAAATATAGCATACATTAAACGCTGATTACGACCCACTTTAAACCAGGGACGGTAGCAAACCTTCATTAATTCAGACTTAACGTGTCGAGATTAGCTCAGACCAAAGTCAGTTTAGATAACTGGTTCAGAGCGCTTCTCAACACATTAAGTCTTGTTTAACCTACAGTTAGATCATAACCAAAAAAACCAATTTGACTTGAAGTTAGACAGTTAACTTGTAAACCTAATTCCTAACTAATCAGAGAAAAAAATACTGTGGGGTTGAAAGGAGACGCAGAGGCCACGTTGATCCTTCACTAAAAAGTACTCCGAAGCACTTTTTACTGGAGGGTCATACGTGTCAGACGTGGTGACTGCGCCTCCTTCAATCCCGTGCTCTTTTTTCTTCTCTGACCAGCTCAACCTGTTAGGAATCAAAGAATGCAGCTGCGATCCATAATCTTCAGGTACTTTTGCAACCTTTTTTTTCTTATTTATTCGTTTCCTGATATTTTGTCGTCTGAAATCTAAAGTAGGAAGCTCTTGCTTGATCTGGGCTGGATCGCACTCTCCATTCTTTATTCTTTGCTTAGAATCTCCGATCGTTACTTCTGATTGCGAGTTAAGGGTACTTTGCTACCGTCCCTGATCTGCAAAAATTGAGCTCGGAAGTTGTGAGCAGTCAAAGTTGGCTCCAAGTGAAGCGTTACGTATTACCGTGCTAGCCTCCGGGCTTTCAGAGTCGCCGTGGAGTAGTGGTAGTGCTCTCGAAATTTGCACTCCAACAGGAGAACTTATGACCTCCAGGGTGAGAGCGAGGGCACTACCACTACTCCGCGGCGACTCTGAAAGCCTGGAGGCTAGCACGGTTCATATGTAACGCTTTACTTTAGCCAACTTTGACTGCTCACAACTTCCTTGGCAGGTTCATTTTGCAGTTTTAGTTTCCATATTTGTAATCAGCGTTTGAAGCTCTATCGATATATCTGGGTCTCAATTCAAAGTTCCATGGGAAGTTGAATGCCTTCCCTGGTAAGTACTTGATTGAAGAGAACTGATCTCGACTTCCGTGTTGAGAAACCGGCTTGCAGAGAAACCCTGCCTGTCTGAAGTTACCGCTTAAACTTGAAGAAATAAATGCGCGCTGAAACAATACTGATTCTTTTTTGAAGATATTGAGGGAATGTTAATGACAGCAGAGAGCAAACAAGACGACATTATTTCAACGCGTAGAAGTAGCATTTTTGAAAAGGCTCTCTTTCAGGCACTGCGATATATCGACACGCATTCCAAGGACAGCACTATGAACAGCGTAGCCTCAATGACCACTGAGAACAGAGATAAGTGGGCCAAGGTAGGGAGTTACCGAATATGTAGGCACGTTTCTTCTTCAGCACCTGCACGATGCTCTCCTAAAGTTTGAAAGTTTCTGCAAACAACGTGGACGTCCTTTCTGTTATCACTCGATTAAGATTAGAGCTTTTCGTCAAAAGACTTCAGATCGTCAAGTTCTGCAAGACAAATGAAATTCATTGGAAATTCAGCTTTTAATAGAACCTCGGAGTTGATGATTACCCTGACGTATTATTGCGTCATAGAGGTTTCCAGGTGGAAACTCAAAGTAACGGCCCTAAAATAAGGTTTCCATCCTGAGACCTCTACGGCTCAGGAAACAGGTCGCAATAAGAATATGTAGCTTGATGTTTCGAAAATTCTGTAATGGAACGCGCAATGCACTTGAGTTCAACCCCAGGGAGCAGCTGAATGTTTAGCGGTATGATGTCCATGCCGCAGCATAATGAGGAAATGTTCGAAATTCACCCCAAAATGCACCACGTACTCGACTACATCCATACACTACATAATTAATAGTATATCTTTTGAGATCCAGGAATTCTGTTTCATCTGGGACGGCTAAATGACCTGCGCTCAGCAACCTCTTATCTCAAAGGTTATCTGGGATACAGTTTTCAAGTAGAAGTAATCGAATCGATTTCCTGAAATTTCACATAATCGAGGTGTTTTGGCCGGAGCCTGAGATTTAGCAACGATTTGTTCCTGTGGTAGAATACAGTTAGCTGTGTTAACGTCTGCCCTGATTGCAGACGAGCGCTTCTTTCGTAGTGTGGCCCTAAACATCATTCTGCGTTATGCTCGAACGATAAGATCAGTTTGTGTTCAGACGCAAGTCCGCATATTAGATGTACACCTCAATGCCTTCTAAAAAAATAGTATAAATTTGTTTTTCTTCATTTTCGGCTTCCTTACTGTCGATCAAATTTCCCCGTCCTTAACGTCATGGTGAACCGTTCGTCGTTCCAATTCCATGAACTTGCCGACGTCTTTTCTTGGATGGTTTAAGCGACCCTCCCCTCCCCCCTCCCCGACGACCACCCCCTCACCACGGCTGTTTTTATAGTGTGTGATTATGTGATCAGTCGACACAGCATTTGCTCATTTCCTTCCAAGCGGTCGTCGAGTGGGGGAGCGGGGGGCGGAGAGGGAGGAGTGGAGCGGAGGTGAATGGTGTTGGCCTAATGAAACTGATAAATGCTAGCTAGTTTGACTATTTCGTTCTTACTTTTCAAACTTTCCGCACACCTCAGAAAAAAACCCTCCCGTCCCCTTGAATTCTACAACTTTCAAAAATATGACTCCCATTCAATCTCTTGGTCTTGCTTTCACCAACTTAAAATACGAACTCCTTCCAGAATTTCAAATACGACCCCCTTCGCTGAGAATTGCACGCACATGGTCGGCCCTGCTTGACGCCCTCGTGCGATTCACATCTGCAGCGTCTGCGCTCACACTCAGCGGCAGCTCCCGTCGTGGTTGACGGTAGCCCATTCAGAACCCCAATCATGACCCGCCGACGAACGCGGAGACGCATGACGCATTCCATGGTGAAGCGTTTGGGCAAGTGAAGTGGACCATCTTGAAAACTTTGACGAGCTCAGCGGTGTCTTCTGTTTTGGAAAAAAATCAGGCCTTAATATAAGTCCTCCCAAGAAAGCTCCGAATTTGCAGGTACGGGCGTCGATGATCGCTACTTCTGAGATTAACGCTGAATCTTTGCGAATAGTCGAGACAGCGAGTTTCTGTCTCACACTTGCTGACAAATCCTATGACACCACAACAGAGGCAAGTGAACAGCACATTTCAGATGGCAGGTTCTCATTTAAGAAGTTTCCTTCTGTTCAGATTCTTCACTCGGCCCTTATGGGAGAGAGCCACTACCAGTGGGCTGACAAATCTCTGAACATCATCGCTTGTAAAGACGGACGACTTCTCGTGCAAGGCGAGGTAGACAAAATTTTCTATGGTTTTGTATTGAATTTTATCCTCTCCATACCACTCGCTTTCGCTCAATTTTTCGCAAAATACCATTCTAGCAATAAGCTGCACTCACCGGAGTGGTGGTGCTTTGAGAGAGATTTAGGGGGAAATACAGGAGGACATATGCCGCTGTGACGGCAAGTACAGCCACGAAAAGCTAGGCAATATTTAGTCGCCGATCGACGACTAAACGGCCTTAGATGCGCTGCTTTAAAGGGACAAAGGTCTTCAGTTAGCTGTGTATGTGCACCACTGAGGGCAGGATAAATTGTGGCCCGAGGAAGCGATCAGTAGCGGAAAATATGTCCAATCTGGCAGTGGCGCTGACAATAGAGTTGTAAATTTCATAGGAAAGATTTTCCATTTTTTGCAATAATTCTTATTTTTTAAATCTTGTAAATGTATTTATTATTATGAGGTCAACACAACGAAGTAGCCTAGTTTCAGTTTCGCACGTGCCCTTAGACGTCTCCTTCCCTCTGATTTCATTCCACAAATCTGAAACTAGCATTTCGAGACGATCTATGAGAATTCGTTGTTAACTTTCGTAAGTAGCAATTCTTCACTGATGATGGGATCTTAAGCTCAAGCTCACAAGCAATAGGTTTGACCTTTCAGAAGGAACTCTTGTTATCTTCTCGCTCCCCTATCTATCGCAATTTGTTTTGACGGCCTGTCGATTTTGCTGTCACAAAATTTGATCACGAACAAAACACGAATGAGCTAGGTGGGGTTCATCCACGGTGAGCGGGGCATATGCCCACATGGGCGTATGTTATACACTACTTTCCGATAAAGCTTTTAAAGAAGGGTATATTCCGTTTGGACGCGGAAGGAGTTTTCGCGACAAAACCTTAAATAGGATTAGATTCAGTATCTATGTTTATGGAAAGTGGATTAACAGAGCAGATTTGATCTCATGCTTCCAGTAGGTATGTATAAAATCATTTTGGACAGAACGTATGTGACAAATACCTTTCTTGTGACTTTACCTGTCAGTCTTGCAAGCTCCGCGTGTAACAGGCACTCAAAACTGACGAACGAATAGATCATCTCCGGCAGTATGAACTAGTTCACATGTGTCGAATCTATGAATCATTGTATTCAGTTCAAGTCAGAATTACTGTTTGTTTTTAGCAGCCAATATTTGAAATTCAGGAATGAAACCTCGTGGTTCTTCGTGGAGCAGTCAACCACACTGAGGAGCTGAAGGTGTTGCCAGCTTCTACTTGCTAGGTTGTGTGTTCTTTTCTTTTTGGATGATTATGCGATAATGCGGGTTTCGCTCTTCGTTCATATCGCGAGGAAATAATAAGTTTCTGTTTTGTTATTTATGTTAGTGGCAGTTTGGCATATTCATGTATAAGCGTTCTTACGTTGAGATAGAATTTTCGATCCGTTCTGCAGAAACATGTATGGTTAGGTTCTTATTGAATTTTAGATTAGTTGTGTGTATTTGATTCCATGCTAAAATTACTATGAAAGGCTGAGATTTATTGTAAATACATTCATAGAATTGCGTAACGACGGCTCAGTTTTTAAATGCTGGCTTTGTAAGTGAACAAAGAGGCCAGTTTCGTCAGAGACCAAACAAGATTGTCACCGTACACGTCGAGGTTGGATTCCGATCCAGTCCAGTCGGAAATC